TCCTTAATCCCTGAGCCATCTATCCAGCCCCTCACAATCTAAACCAAGTTGTGTGGCTTCCCCCACCCAGTGCCCTATTTCAGCCTCCCTCCCACAGACTCTCCCTCTCTATCTCCCATGTGTCCCTTTGCCTAGCCCACATCCTTTCTCATCACCTAACTAATACCACCCTCTCTTGTTTTCCTTTCTAGATTTTCAGACTTTTCCACTCTTACACCTGTTTGCATATACACATGTATAAATTACAGGCTAGAATCCACATTGAGGGAGAACAGGTGGATTTTGTCTACCTGGGCTTGAGTCACTTCACTGATTGCTGCTCATTCTCAGGCTCATCCCAAACTCCTGCTCTCAAGTGATCTTTCTGCCTCAGCCTCTCGAGGAGCTGATACTTCAGGCTGATTCCAGTGTGCCCTGCTTGCTAGATAAGATGTTTTACATGATTGGTAGGTAAGAATTTTAAATATACAAAGCCATAGACTTTGGCCTCATGTCTGGACAACACTCTATCCACAGTAAACCTCTGTGTTCTCACGTCTTGTTGTCAAGATGCCTTGTGGTTCATCCTGGGATGTCCTCCCTCACATTGCTGAGAAAAAAAGTTTTTAGACCACAAATGTACTCCTGCTGGATGTTAGCTAGGGGGATAGGACAGATATCATTAACTCTTAATATATATGAGAAAATGAGGTCAGGTGGCTTCAAAATGGGAAGTCTATATCATCCTCTCCAAGACTCAGAGAACATTGAGAATGAGGGGGTAGAAAGAATAGGAGAGCTGGGGGATAAGGAGGAGTCCTGTGAAGTTGCCTCTGGACACAACTTGGCTGTGAACCTATGGACTTACAGCAGCTGTGTTACCTGGTAAGCTTGCTTAAGATGGTCCTGAACATTCCACATAGACAGAGAGGCTCCCAAGGATCCACTCTGTGAGGAGCCACTGGTAGTTAATGGTTGCTGGGGGAGATATGGTCATTTTCTTCAGTGTTGAGGCCACTGGAAAGTTACCCATGCTCCAGTAAATAACCCCAACCATGCTCATGCAAGCAAACCTAACTGAACTCAATGGGTCACAAAAGGAGGATAGAGGATTTCAGCGATGGGGGGGCGCAAAGAAGGGTAATAGGAGGTGAAAAAGATCCAAATATGTACATACCCATGAAATTGTCAAAACATTAATTAATTAAAAAATTAGCAACAATGTTGGAAGTCAACCCTTTAAAAAGCAGTTCAGCTAGGCTTGGGGGAGCATGCCTTTAATCCCAGCACTTGGGAGGCAGAGTCAGGCAGATTTTTGTGAGTTTGAGGCCAGCCTAGTCTACATAGTGAGTTCCAGGCCAGCTGGGGCTACAGGGAGACTCTGTCTCAAAAAGCTTTAAAAAAAAAAAAAAAAAAAAAAAAAAAAAAAAAAGCAGTTCAAAAGCTGGGTGTAGTGGCTTATGCCTTTAATCCCAGAACTGGGGAGGAAGAGGCAGGTAGATTTCTGTGAGATAGAGGTCAGCCTGGACCACATAGTGAGTTCCAGGCCAGCTGGGGCTATGGGAAAACCCTGTTTCAATAAACAAAAATAACTGAAGCAGTTCAAGACTGAAAGGACTGAATATTGAACACTGACATGCACTGGGTGTGGTACCTGGGCAGGGACATATCCCCCTGCTCCCTCATGCTTGGCCAACTCCAGGCCTATGAAATGCTAAGCTACCAGTCTAGTTTATGTGTTAAACACTGTTCATTGTTCCCTAACTGTTGATTCTTCTTCTACCCAACCTGATTTATTCATTAGTTTATTTTCTCTTAGTGCTGTTGGAATTCAGGGCAATCTCTAGTTGGAAACAAAAGCTGATGGTAGCCAGGGCCAAATATCAAACTGGGTATACATGGCAGGTCTTGAGGGGTCAAGAGGGGAATCATCAGTAGCCCAAGTGGGCATAGTACAAACATCTAAAAAGACAGAGCACCAAATGAGAAAACAGGGGCTCACTGGGAGCAGAATTCATCAGCTGTATCTTTGTTTTTGTTAGGACCAACTTTACATGTTTATCTACAAGCTAGGAAGGAACATTGGTGCCTTAGTTCCGTGACCTGGGTGCCAGCTCTTACCTTGCCTGTGAGTGACTTGGTTCTTGACAGCACACCTGACCTTCTGAACTCATTCAATCAGTGCACTAAGTCCTTGACTCTACTGATCTCAGAGTTTCTCCCATCACGTACGCTTGTACAGAAAGACGAACATTAAATCATCACAGGCTACTTTTGACTGCAGTTTTATATGCCTTTATCTTTTGTTTATCCCACATTTATTAAGTGGCTCCACGTAATAAATGTGTTGTTATAGAGAAATAAAGAACTCAGCCTCCATCCTGTAACATTTAAACAGAATCCTACTTCTTTGTTTGGGGTTGTTATTTTGAGACTCTAGGGTCTTGCTATGTATCCCAGGATGGTGTCAAACTTGATATTCTCCAGTTTTATTCTCTGGAGTGATACAATCATGTGTGTATGCTACCACACTGAGCCAAAATTTTCTAAGCTTCCTTAGAATTTATTAAACACATTGTGTATAATTATTGTTGAAAAAAGAATAGCCAGTTTCTAAAACAAATGTTTACACCTATTTATTTAAATTGTGTTTTGAAGAAAATGGTTGAGTATAAAAAAATATTGTTTGCTTTCTTCCTAATTCAGAAAGCTCAGAATGAATCATCCAGCCATGGGGGCCGCTTGGCGTATTCACTTGAGTGTCTCAAATGATCATAGTTGCAAAATGTGGTAATGGCTCCACAGAAGAAGATGAATCAATATCCAATTTGCAAAGAAGAGTGTGCTATCTATCTCTTAGGAGTGTGAATTTGAAAGGGCTTATGTTAGGACACAAAAAGCCTGACTTAACACCAGTGGAGAAGGTAGATCTAAAGGAGACTCCTCACAAGATCTGGCCACTGAAGTTGGGTGAAAGACTCCTGATCTCATGCAGATGCCTGAATTTCTCAGTTCAGAATTAGTACAAGGCAAACATTTCTTTTGTGGGACTTTGGGAGCTCGCTAGTTTAGGCACTGTGGTTATTTTCAGGGTTTTGTGGTTTCTGCATTTTCTTCTTATCTACATCATAAAGATGACCAAACAAACAATTTTGACCCAGGTAGGATGGCTCACATCTTTAATCTTATCATCTGGGGGTTGGGGCTGGTGGGGGGGAATATAAATACCAACTAACACAAGCTTCTTAATTAACACAATGAAGGACATATCATTGATTTTGTAGGGAGAATTTCAAATTTTATTGCTAGTTCTCATGAAAAGTTGTAAAGTTATAAACATATTTGCAGAACCCTGTTCTGATCATTGTGAAAGTGTTGATTTTAGGAGAAAAATAAGGTGGAATTATTAGAGAAAATGCCCCAGTTTCTGTGTGTTCATGTCCATCTGTTTGCTCTGTGGTACTTTTTTGTTTTATTGCTTGTTTTTGCTTTTTGTTTTTTTTGTTTTTTGTTTTGACAGGGTCTCCTTAGTCCCAGTCTGCCTGGAACTTACTATGTAGACCAGGCTGGCCTTAGTCTCACAGAGCTCTGCCTGCTTCTGACTCCTAAGTACTGGCATTAAAGGAGTGCACCACTACACCTGGAGTGGTATTTTTGATTCTTCCAACTTCCATGTAGTTCATTTTAATGGCTAGCCTTAATCAAAGTTTTAATTGTATAGTCTACCTAATATCAAATATGAAATGCTGGTTTAATAAATATAAATGGGGGCTGGAGAGATGGCTCAGCAGCTAAGAGCACTGGCAGTTTGGTTCCCAGCACCAACATGGTGGCTAACAACCATCTGAAACTCCAGTTCCAAGGGAGTAAACACCCTTTTCTGGCCTCTGTGGGTACTGAAGGCACATGGTGCACTTATATACATGAAGGTAAAACAGTCATACACCTAAAATGGAAATTGACTATGGAAATGTCTCTACAGTTTAATGACTGGATGGAATCTCTGTCCTCTGAAAGAGTACAAAAAGAAGGAGATCACTTTTTAGGCAATATTCACATCATTTTTTTTTTTCTTTAAGGGATTCAAGACAGTTGTTTTTAGGTGACAATACTTTTTGTATCTGTTTTCTCAAACGTTACTGTTCTAATATGCTTATTTATTAAAATACTTGTTTAAAATTTATATTTGGACCACATGGATTAAATTATAATTGGGTACTAATATTTTACAATTAAGCTAGATGAAAAATATTGAACCTGTCCCTCTTTTAAGCAGTCGTTCCTAAATATACATTTTTTTTTCTTTTCAAAGGAGTTGTCTATGGTGGCGAACGTCTGCAATCCCAGCTCTTGGCAGGTAGAAGGGTCAGGAGGGTCAGGAGGTCAAGCTCATACTCAGTTACAGAGTGAGCTCTAGTCCAGCCTGGGCTACATAAATGAGACTGTGCCTCAAGATTTAAAAATAAAGGGTATGCCAAGCGTGATGGAACAAACTTTAATGGCAGCACTCGAGAGGCAGAGGCAGGTGAATCACTGAGATGGGGCTCAACCTGGTCTAGATAGCTAGGTCCAGGCCAGGTGGGGCTACAGGGAGACCTTGTCTCAAAAAAGACAAAATAATACCAATAATAAAGTGTAAGTGGGTGAGATACTATCTTTGTGCTAAAATAATAATGGTATTGTTTATCCTTAGCATAGCTTCAGTCTTATTTGACTGTGCTGGAAGAATGTTGAGATATATATATTATTTTAATTTTATGTGTATGCATGTATTTCCTGCATATATGTAAGTGCACTCCTGTCATGCAGTGTCGTGGAGCTCTTTTCTTCCCCAAGTTGCCTTTGGTCAGAACCTTTTATCCTAATAAGAAAAAAGCAAGCTAGGACAGGGGATAGACCCTATACTCTGCAACCAGGTTGGCAATCCACGTTTCTGGTGTAGGAGGGAACACACGGTCATGTTGATAAACAGTGCTGAAGCAAACCTAAGGCACGGCAAGTACAGTCTAAGGGTTACTCACTCTGCAGACAGTCGGCATTGAGGAGGTCCTGACACTTCTCATGACACTTCACCCCACACTCCAGACACTTCATGCCCTGCCGAGCAATGCCCCACAGCAGCCCTTCACACTCGTAGCAGTAGGTGGGTGTCGTTGCTGTCCAGACCTCAAAGTTGTGTGGGGTGGTGGAAGAAATGGGGTAGATCAATGCCTGCAGAGTCTTCTTGAAGACGTGCATTTTCTATGAAGACGAGAGAAGAAACCAGTGCAAGGTAAGTTAGTAGATTTTGGGACTTTCAGCACGAAGCAGGCAATATTATCATTTTCCTTGGAAAAATCACCATTTTGAAAGGGAGGGGCTCTTGATTTTAATGTAAATATTGATATTAAACTGAATCATTCTGCACACTTATTTTTCTGTGTTCAAAGACCCAATTTGGTTATGTGATCACAAAGAACTGAATCTTATAGATAGGACAAGGCTCTCCCACAGGTTTTTCCACAGCACCTTTTAGTTCTAAACACCTGATGATGCCTGTGTCCCTGGTGTACCATGAATTTCAAGAGTGCATGGATGAATATCTTACTACCACAGCAGTAGTGAGAAACCAATCTAGCCCGTCTTGTTAATTTAAAAATTAATTTCTATGACTAATCTTAGCCTTACTTGGCTCTTAGTAAAATTGTCGAGTATATGGAAATATTTTTTAATTATTTATTTAATAACCACATGATTAAAAGAAGCATTTCATTACAGCATTATATATTCAATAACAATTTCCAGAGCAAAGATGCATCTCTTTCAAAATTGGCTGTAAATTTTTAGGTTTACAGTTGAATTAATACAGTTATACAATATTGAACTCAGAATAGACCCTATAAGACATAACATTGAGTGAGGTTTTAGCCTTTATAAAAGATCTACATTTCATTTTAAACTATACTGTTTCATACAGAAAAACTCATTTTTAATGCTACTAACACTTAGATATTTGCACGTGCGTCTCTAATCTCTATGTACCTGATTATTACTAGTCACAGTTGGTTACTTTCTGAGATCCTTGGCACCTGAGCATGGATATAAGGTCATCAGGTAGATTTCAATGGTAACATTTACAACCTCTACTAATTAATATGAAGCAAATTTTTATGCTTCTTCCTCAAATATAACTCATTTTTTAAAATTTGTTGATGTTTTGGTGTGTATTTCATACAGATCATCCCAAACAATCTTATTAATCTATATACCCACATCCCAAATGGCACCTTCCCATAGCCTCCCCCTCCCCCTGACTGGGGCCCATATACTCTGTAATCCCTGTTACTGTCTATTGTGTTGTCAGCGCCCCCAGCCATTCCCCAATGCTTGTCCATCCGATGAATTTAGTCAGCCTATCTAGAGTTCTTTGTTTTAGGAAGATCAGTTCTTCCTCATCTAGCAGCAATCAGTTGTCAATTATTCCTTTAGATAAGATTGAGGTCTGCTGTTTTAATCCTGACCGCAGCCCTCTAGAAACACTCTCATTCATCTTTCAAATTCTTCTCAAACCTTTCCTCTTTGATTGGTTCCCCTAATACTTCACCCTCCAAGCAATGTTTTATTAATTTATTCTGATGGGAATGACTTCCAACACACCTAAGTTAGAAAGGATTTTATCAACTAATTCATAAGAAAGTTCTTGTAGGAGATAAAAGCTAAAGGGAGATAAGTTTCAGTAGCACACAGAATGCTTTTCAAACGCTAAACCATTGGTGGATTGTAAAATTCATTGACCTTAGCCAGGAGATGCGCTCTTCAGGGCAAGCCAAGTGCATGATAGTTTAAATGACTTGTTAGGGCAATGGCTTCTAGGTAATTTATTTATTTTTAAACTTTAAAAATTTTCCACAACAGACACTGTTTTCTAAAAGACATGCATTTTTTTCAAGGAATAGTAAATCACATGATCAACAAATTATCAAATAGAAACACACTAAAATCAAATTAAAATTACACAACTCAGGTTTTTCCAAAGTTGGGGCTGGAGAGATGGCTCAGCAGTTAAGAGCATTGGCTGCCCTTATAGAGGATCTGGTTTCAGTTCCCAGCACCTACATCCAGGGGATCGGACACTCTCTTTTGACCCCTGTGGGCATTGCACAACACAGGTGCACTTACATACATGCAGGCAAAACACTCATACATGCAAAATGAAAATAAATAACAAAATATTTTTTTAAAAAATTCTCAGAGTTAATTAGGGTTTAATGCATGTGCTTCCAACATTTTTTCTTTTTTTTTTACAATTAAAGTTACAGTTTTAACAATATGCAAAATATTACAGTAATTCAGATTTTTTGGCATAATGATTACAGATTTGATAAATACAATTAATATCTCATAATAGTGATGAGGATTATACAAAAGCTATTAAAACAATTATGAGAATAAATTCTATTGTCACTTAAGTATCTAAAGCTATTTTCCTTTGCATTC